ATCTTTGTGCTGAAGTCTTCAGCACAGGTTTGCGCGGCGAGCAATGCACGCGCGTCATGGCGCGCACATTACGATCCGAACAATTTCACTGGCGTATGCCGGCTGACGTAATAGAGATCCCAAGGGTCTAGAATGCAGCCCATGTTCATATCTCGATACCTGGCGATAAAGGCTGTTAGGTACTGTGATGGCTGCCGTACAGCTGGTATATGCCTTTCAGAGTGTGATTACCTCTTCGTACCCTGTCACCTCATATGCTCACCTACCCTCTCATCATCTGGACTGCCTTACAAGGTGTCATGGGAGTAACTTTGAAGCTACCTATCTCCCGTATGTTCATGCCCAATGGTGATGTTAATCTATTTCAGTCTCTGCATGCTGACGGTCAACTTCAAAATCCCATCGTGGATACTGGAGCACCCTATGTATTTTTTGTCTGGAAGAATTGGTACGATCAGCAAACTCATAGGAGTGCTTGTAAGACCCTCACAGCCCATTGCTACTCCTGTACTAGGAGCTGCTCGCCCCAGCACACGCACACTATATACTTCGGCGGTGGAGTGGATGTCACTATTTTCCAATACGCTGGGAAACTTTCTCTTGGTACAACATCATACGAAGGTATGCGCTTTGGTCTGGTCTGTGGTAGGAATCCCCCTCCACCCCAAAGTCAGGCTCACGCTTCATTTGGCCTGGGTAAGATCAGCGAAGCGGGATACCCCTCTATCATGGATCAGCTCTTACAGAGGAGGGTGATCGCGCAGAAAGTATTTGCTCTCTACCTATACCCGGATCGGAGTGGGACATCTGGATTTGACGGATCCCTACTTTTGGGTGGTGGCAGTCCCCGGGTGTACAAGGGTCCTTTACGTTTTGTACCAATAGTCTCATCTGATAGTTGGGCAGTAATGCTGAGCTCTGTCCAGGTTGGTAGTGGGCATACGACTATTGGTATTAAACAACACCTACTCCTAGATACTGGAAGTAACAACATGTATGTTCCGAAACTCTATTTCAGCTCACTTCTAAGAGATATCAGCCAGCAAGCAAGCCAAGCGGCTAAGACTGAGGTGAGAATCATTTATCAACCAAGACATGGTGTATGGGCCATCAACTGTGCTTATCGCAAGTTCATGCCGAGCATTACTTTTGGACTACAAGCTCCAGACGAAGACGTGTTGATTACCATTGATGGGTGGAGCTATGTCCCGATGCGATCCGGAATATGTTATCTCCAAGTTCGATCTACGGCCGATGACATATGGATCCTTCCCGACTACACGCTAGTCGGAAATTACCTCGAGTTTCAAGCAGCCCAGAATCGTATTGGCATTGCCAAGTTATCTTTGCCTTAGTCCTTGTTGAAGGCTTCGCACCGTGCGATGAGATATTATTATGGTTTGTATTTCGAAAGGTTAGATCTATGCGGTCTTGGGATATCTTATGTGAGTTTTCAAATGGTACTTATTCCTTGGTGCACACTACTTCAATGCATCATGGTCGATAACTGGTCGAAATTTTATGGTCGAAATAACATCAATTACTATGATGTCAAGTTGGTCCGTAGATTCCTATGAGCGGAATTTTCAATGGTTCAATAGGAAGAGAAGAATATTCCTCTCACCATAGCTTTCATCGACGTTTTGTTGAGTGCCCCAGGCATTCTGCCGATCATATCTGATTGTAAACCATCTGTGAGAGTAATCTCAACGAAATGCCAGATTTATGTAACAGGATTTGGTCAGCCATTCCGTTACTGCTATATCGGATGGCTCTCGCTTGAATGGTATACACAACGAGTCACTATGTCAAGACTGATAGGCAAGTCGATTCTTTCCACCTCCCGAAACTGTTGAGTTGATCAATGAGTCCGTGGTTATCTTGAGATTCGCGAATTGTTGCCACCAACAGCGACGGTGTTAATTGGCAGTCAAAATGATAATCCAGCGATAAATTCTCCTTTACTGAATCAATTCAGCCAGGCATTGGTGAATAGTATAATAGTCTTAGTATTCACCAATGCCTGACTGGAATTTGAGTAG